TTTCGGACAAAGGTGTTGTGCCACTCTCCACCTCCCCTGCACAACCCTAGAGTCGATTTGCAGTTTCTGTTGTCTCTATTTTAAACATATAGAGTCGGGTTCAGAAATATTTGGATGTTGACAGAGTTATTGTTATCTTAGTTGTCTACCACAGCCAACTGAAGTTAAAATTATATAATGAATATGAGCTCAAAGTGCAGACCTCCAGCTTTCATTTTAATTTACATCCTAATTGACTGAACTGTGTAGGAATTAGAATCATTTTCATACACTTTTTAAAATACTCTTTATTGTAAGCTAGGCACCTTTTATTTGACTAATCAAACAGTAATCAAATGACCACTATGAACAGTATAGCAGTTACAGGGCTTTTCTTCATTGTACAACACCTTAAAGGACCCATCACAGAAAGCAGCATTTTACTGGATTTTATAAAGCAGTTGTTGGTGTTGGTGTAGTATGTAAACATTACTAAACTTTTAAATACATACTGGTCACTCCTCAGTCCAAATGGTCCATATATGTAAACTAAGCTGCAAAAATGCCAACACATTTTTATATATCCTCCTATTCATCCTACAGCAGTTTAACCCTGTCCACTCACACTGGAGTTTTTCTGCCTGGGCTGCTTTTCTGGATCAGCAGATCAGAACAGAGGCCATTTACATACACTATATGGACAAAAGTATGGGGACACCTACACATTAGACCTACAGGAGCTTTTATGACATCCCATTCTTAATCCACAGGCACTGATATGGAGTTTGTCCACCCTTTGCAGCTATAACGGCTTCCACTCTTCTGGGACGCTCTCTACAAGATTCTGGAGAGTGTCTGTGGGAATTTTTGCCCATTCATCCAGAAGAGCATTTGTGAAGTTAGACACTGATGTTGGACGAGAGGGCGATTTCCCTTCCCTGGAACTAAGGTGTCTAGGCCAACCCCTGAAAAAACAACCCCATAGCATTATCCCTCCTCCACCAAACTTTACAGTTGGCACAATGCAGTCAGGCAGGTAACGTTCTCCTTTCATTCGCCAAACCTAGACTCATCCATCAGACCGCAGATAGAGAAGCGTGATTCATCACTCCACCGAATACATTTCCACTGCACCACTGTGTTTCCACTGCTCCAGAGTCCAGTACCCAACTCCCCTTAGAACCCTTTAGTGAGTGATTCAACAGAGGATAGGCACTGTGCAGTTTAACACTCACAGGCCCAACTCTGTGAGTTTTAGTGGTCTACCACTTTGTGGCTAAGTTGTTGCTCCTAGATGCTTTCATTTCACAGTAATAGCACTCACAGTTAACAGGGGCAGATCTAGCTGGACAGAAATTTCACAAACTGACTTGTGGAGAAGGTGGCATCCTATGACAGAGCTATGTTTGAAGTCATAGAGCTCATCAGTGCAACCCACTCTACTGTCAGTGTTTGTCTATCAAGACTGCAAAACTTTTTTTTTATCCACCTGTTAGCAATGGGTGTGGCTGAAACACCTGAACTCAATGATTAGGAGGGGTGTCCCAATACTTTTGTCCATATAGTGTATATCAGTCTTAAAGACACAATACCAAACAGTTACTGTTTATATTGAATTTTAATGCTGCACTCACATGTTGGCAGTAGATGCCAGTAGCAGTAGTATTCCAGTTTTCTGAATGGAGCTGCTACATTAAATCACACAAATATTGTAAGTGGACCTCAGGACAAAAGTAAAACAAATGTAAAAATAGTAGAATATTGGCCCTTTAACACTCTCAGTATTAGTTTCACTTCCAGTAGCCGTTTTATGTACCAGTTACTGGGCAAAACTGTGCCACACAAAGTGAGTGTGACTAATGATCCACAAGAGGGAGCCAACAACCAGGTCAAAAGGTTGGATCAAAACATTTAAGCCTGATCAATGACATACAAAGTCAAAGAAAATGTACTGGGCAGGTATAATTTTTGTTCATCAAGGTACAAACAATGTAATTGTACTCCCCAAAGTACAACAGTGGTTTTAAGGTCCAATTGTGTACCTTAAATATGTCCTTTTCCCAGTGGACAGTTTCATAATCTAGTGTTTCAAACTAGAGCAACTAAATAAAAAGCCTGGAGACAAGACAGAGTCAATCTTTGAAAATAAAATTTCAATGGAATATGGTACAATTATGATCCCTAACTAAAGATACTGAAGAGACCTCAGTGACAGTTTGGTACCTTTTTTCTGAGAGTGTACATTTGATGCCTAAATATTAAGGACTCAGTGAGGTTTGTAGGCAACTTCGCCACCTAGGGGTTTAGAAGTGTAAGGAAAACAAATTTTATTAATACTAATAAATACAGGAAATACTCTTCTTAAAGGACAGCAAATTCTTCATGTGTGCAGTGAGCAAGTTCAATGCAATGACACAGCATAATATGACCAGTCATACCAAGGAATTAGCTCTCGCACAAAATCAATAAAGAGCACGTTAACTGTACTGCTAAAACTATCAATATAGAAGAGTAAAAGAAAATCACAGTGTGGGCAGCATTAAAAGTAGCCAAGATAAATATAGTGAATATGATTAAATTCGCAGTATAAAAATATACATGTTTATAAAAGAACAAAGAGACAAGAGGGGTAATGCAGAAGCCTTCACCACCCCACCCAGCTCAGTCCCTCAAGTCCTGCAGCAATCCTCCCAACAGGTCTGCAGTTTCTCATGCCGACTACAGATTAAAAAGAAACACAAGGTGAGAGCGGTCCTGAGGCCAACTCAGTCAATACTTCTATTACAGTGGCATTAAGTTCTCCACGTCACACGATCCACTATGACACTGAGGCTAGCGGGACCTCCAGAATCCACCCATAATGAAACAATACTCATAATTTGCCTGGGAGCAAGCGCGAGTACTCCAAAGCAGGGCTGCCACCGTTCTGATGAATTGTCCAGTTGATGATGAAATCCACCAATGGCAGAGCAAAATACAGCAGTAACTTAGTTACGTATGCCGATAGCTGTGTAAAGTATGCCAGGTGTTGAGTGAAATATGGCAGTAACTGGGTTAAATATGCCAGTGGCAGAGTGAAATATCCATTTGTAAACTGTATATGAGCTTCGCTTGAGGCACTTGAAAATACTAAATGACTCACAAGAGTAGAGAATAAAGTCTCACACAAGTCTGTGAATGAAAAAGGAGGTAGTGTATCCAGATCACAACTTCCCACTTTGTTTGGGAGTTTGTATTATTAACCATAAGGCTAATTTTGTCCATACAATGTTTGTCATCCCTCTGGAGTTGGTTAAGAAAGACTCCCTTCATGTTTACTTCACTTTATAGCAGGACAAGTCTGGAAAAACCACAATAAGACAGCAGCCTCTTTAAACTCTCGCAGACTGTGAGACTTTGTAGCATGTAAACAAATAACGAACCCTAGTGGCAGAAATGTGCCACGTCTAGCATAGTACATGTCTGCCACTAGGGTTCATTATGTTGCAGCATACAGGATCGGTGTGGTTCAGCCTTAAACGCTTGAACCATTGGATTTTGAAAGAAGAGCCTCCCCTGCATGAAAGTGGACCCCTTTGCTCGTCTCATTCGGTCTCTGAATGGTAAATAAAAAAAAGCAAAAGCAGTCTAATGGAATTTTTAGATATCTAGTTACATATTGCCACTAAGCTCATGCTCTCACTTTATGATGGGGATATCACAGACATATTGTGTACGACATAATCTGTAACCTACAGCTGCCTGGCTAACTGCTGGGCTGTGCTTCTGAAACTGAGGTCACACAAACTACCGTCTGAGAGGCAGTTGTAGCTCATACTGGCACCCAATGTCCAATACAGAAATCTGATATATGGTAATATATGGATTTCAAATATATGACATATATTAGCCTATATGGATTTCCCTCATATTCAACTTAGATTAGTAATATATGGACATACATACCAGCTTTTTAAAAATATTTTTGAAGTATTTCAGCCATATATCATCATATTCAAACATAAATATGGATGGCATATATCCTATATTGCCAGCTTCGTGTACTATAATATAAGGTTTTTATAAGGCATCTTCTTTATTTCTTCCACATACTTCCTAATGCAGTGAAAATTCATGTAATAGCTACAAAACTAAACTCTAAAAACACATTATAAGTTATACAATAAAAGCATTAAAATGTGAAATGAATACAAAAATGTTCTTTGACACATTTAAACAATTTAATATTTAAAAGCAAACAGATAACATAGTAACAATTTATAATTGTACTCAAATCATGTATCAGACTTATACTACGCACTAATGTGTTCACCCACCTATCAGTATGATCCATAAACTATGCATATCAGAAGTACCAGAAGGTACCTCAGCATCCATTACATCAACATCTTTTAATTACATCCAATTCAATTTTGTCCCCACATATTTAGCCTGTCCTAAATGTTTTGTGTACATGTGCTTTCCTGTAAGAGCCCAAGTATGTCCCACTTCTGAAACGTGCTACAGCACAGTGTGCATGACCACACTAAATGCACCCATTCCTGAACACGGCATAGAAGCAGTTTGAATCTTTACTGAATGACTCACTGTACAATTGCAACACACAATGTAAAAATAATGTCTAACTGACTATAAAAACTTTCAAATGTCTGCATTTAAGCCACAGCTGAAGGTTATCATGTGCCATCGTTAGATATGTGGCATATCACACCATTGCAAATCTGAACTTAAACCCATCCATCCATCCATCCATCCATCCATCATCTAAACTGCTTATCCTTCTGGGTCGCGGTGGGGTGCTGGAGCCTATCCCAGCTGTCATTGGGCGGAAGGCAGGATACACCCTGGACAGGTCGCCAGTCCATCGCAGGGCAGACAGACAGACATACACAGTCACACACACACTCACACCTAGGGGCAATTTAGCATGTCCAATTGGCCTGACTGCATGTTTTTGGACTGTGGGAGGAAACCGGAGTACCCAGAGGAAACCCACGCAGACACGGGGAGAACAGGCAAACTCCACACAGAAACGACCCTGGTCACCCGGCCGGAAATCAAACTCAGGCCCTTCTTGCTGTGAGGCGACAGCGCTACCCAATGCGCCTGACTGGTTTGGCAGAATTCACTATTTGTTTTCATGTTTTTGTTCATCAGTGTCCTCTCACTACAATACCCAGCCTGCATTATACATATACACCATACAACCATTGGGAATCACTGTGTTGCTCAATCTGTCCTGACTTCTAGGCTGCCGGATCTGCAAGTAAATAAATACAACCATATAAATACAACAACAATAAATAATGATGATTTAAAGGCAGTTACTGCAGTTATATGGCTGCAATAAGATATTTTACTTCCTATTAGTAATGTTAGCATCTGCCTTTCTTCTGCATTAACCAACTGACTGAAAAAACAGCCCACCCCAAAAAATTGACCCCAAAGTAGTTGTTTTCCATGTACTTTCTGAGGCAACCAGGATAATTGTTTAGAGGTGAAGTTATGAGCAGTGAGATCACTTTTTTCCAGGAAATAATACGTAAAGTAATCCCATTTCAGTTTGGGTGAAGTAATTAGTAATGGATTACTACCCCAAGACTGACCTCTCACTATCTCTATCCCATCCTACCCCTGTCTATTCGACCATGACAAAACAATATGTACAATCCATACACACATGCAGTGATTTAGCTAAATATTCTTCTCTCACAAATCCAAACAGACTTAGAATTGCAGGGAAAATCAGCCCAGCTCTTTTCAGGACTAGACCCATAGCCAGTTAGAGTGCAGTCTTCATCTCCATAACTGTTGGGCTCCCCATATTTCCAGAACCTGAAAGAGAAAATCACAGTATCCACTGTGTTTTATCAGTTCAGTGAGGGGTAACTGTCTCATCATCAGAGCTCAGTTCAGTGATCTCTTACCCAGTGGTCAGTGCTGAGCCGTCCACCCATTTCCAGACCCCCTCCTTCTCACTGTCAGTCAGACCAATCCAAGCTGTCTGACCTCTTCTCAACATTTCAGTAAAGTCCTGTTGAAGTGAGAAAACTACTTATGAGTTCCTGCATAACCACAACACATGACTGCTTATCTCACATTCCACTGCCTACTATAACAACTTACTGCAGGTACAGGCTAATTAAACAGGGGCTGCCTTTAAACATCTATGGTGACTGTTTGATTGCAATGATCTTTTAATAGTCCAGGAATTGTTGATTTCCATTGCCTCCCAAGTGAGAAGTGAGATCTTAAAGCTGTTTTGGTTTGTTTTGTTTAAGGAAAATATCTCTGCTCACTATGTTATGACACTTAATAGCCTTTAACCTTGCAATTGATCACATATTTTCAGTACAATGGAATTTTCCATTGTGAAGTCAAGATTCAATTAGATTTTGAACATTTCATGTTATGTCAGTGTTTCTCAACCCTTGTCCTGGAGGCCCACTGCCCTGCACATTTAACTGCATCTCCTGCTTTAATGCAGCCACTTTAACTCACTAATGAGCTGATTAGCTGGATCAGGTGTGTTGGGAGCTGGAAAACACGAAAAAGTGCAGTGCAGTGGGCCTCCAGGACCAGGGTTGAGAATCACTGTGTGATCCAGTGTGTACTACACAAGTTGGTTTGCTTCTTTTGACTCCCGAGTGGCACAACCTTTTAAGCACTGGCCCTATTTTCACAGCCATCTGTGGCTGAGAGTCCAAGCCAGCATAATTCAGTACACCCACCCAGCTTAAGCTCCTCCCTCCTTGCTCACTTTATTCTGACACTCAGATGCCAAATTTAGATCAATTATGGTGGTTTTTATTCAAGATGGCAAAAGCGAGATACTTCAAGGAGAGCACTGTTCAACACACTGTATTGAATTCATTTTTGTTTCTTTAATTTTGAGATTCTGTCATGAAATTGTTACACCTTTACTCACAACATTTAATTTTGTTTACTCATCATTAGCAAGGTCAACTAATATGCTAGCTATGTAGGTAAGCAGTACAGTAGGTGGGAGGGCGATCGACATTTTCCAAATAGGATCACTTGCACAAACATTTTAAATTATTATTTGCAAGTGTTGCCAAAATGTGCAGCTAATAATTTGAATGTTTTCCCATATTTATTGATATTATTTTCATTAGCAATCAGAAAGCAGGGAGACCAGGCTTCTTAATGGAAAGCCCAAGCCTCCACAAGCCCCTCTATATCTGTGCCTCTGGTACAAAGACTCAACAAATACACACACTTGACTTAACTCTTCTCTTCAATAAAAACCAACAGTCTACCACCTACAGAAGAGAGAGGCACATTTCTCTATGCTACTTGTACCAATTTTTAAAGCCATAGATTTCACTCAGACATTCGGTCACTTTATATTTATAACTTGAAATAGCCTTGGGAATCTGTTACCAGTGTGAAGTAACCTTGATACAAATAAATAAGACACCCTCACCTGTTCTTCTCTGCTGTTTATGATCAGCAGGTCTGCTCCTCTCTCTATGCAGAACTGTCTGCTCTCCCTCCAGCTCTTCTCCTCAGTAGAGATGTAGTAAACACTGGAACTGAAGTAGATCCATCCTGGTTGGTTAATGTCCCTCTCTGTTCAGAGAGAATGATGAAAAGAGCCCATATCAATGTAAGCACATCCATAACAACAATGCACATTCATTGAAGTCTAAAAGCATACATCTGATCACTTACCCAGTTTAGAAAGCCTGCTTTGGAATCCATCCCTTTCTGTCTGTAACTGGTCTCTCTCTATAGTCACTTTAGTGTAACTGGTCTGTAACTGGTCTCTCTCTATAGTCACTTTAGTGTAACTGGTCTGTAACTGGTCTCTCTCTGTAGTCAGGTTGGTGTAACTGGTCAGTAACTGGTCTCTCTCTATAGTCATGTTGTTGTAACTGATTAATTGGACCCCCAGTAGTGCGATAGCAGCCAGCAGGAGAACACACAGCAGCCCCAGACACACTGCAGTCAGTCTCCAGCATCTGCTTCCCGCAGAGCTTTTTTCTGAGAAAATAAATACAGACTATGTACTGATAATATTATAGACCTTATATATGGTATGATACACTTTGATATTGTGAATCGTTACCATAAAGTGTAACGTGAAATGATAATGCTAATTTAGATCCTTTCTTAACAAGATGTGGTCTCTATTATGTAAAAAAGGCTTTAACCGTGTGTGTGTGTGTGTGTGTGTACCTGAGGTCATAGTTCCTTTATGGCTTCTGGTCACATTAGTCTCCAGGACATCTTCACACATGTAGACATCATCAGAAGAATCCCTGCTTTCGTTTGAATCAGTCGATCTGTTGTCTTCTGTTGTTCCTGTATTGGCATATATATCCTCACTCATCTCCGGTTCTGTTCTCTTTCGGAATGATGTTGGAACAAGTGGAAAAAAGAAGAGGTTTTCTTGATGATAACTGTTTTTGCTTTAATCGCAGGCTATAGTCTCCAGCTCTCCACAGTGACTCTGTGTAGGTGGTGTTGTATGGTGCGTTCTGCTTACAGGACAGGAAGTTGAGGTAAGAGCTCAGACTGTTTAGCACGGGTATATATGTATTCTCAATGTGAGACGTTTAAATATTGTTTTTCCTTAAGGATTCGGGGTCTGCATATGAGTTGGCTGGTTTATCTTTGTGTTTGTGTCCTGCATGCTGTAGGAAACTCATAATTCATTCATAATCTATTCATATCCACAGTTAGTTCATGCTGAAGTTGGCTCCTGTGTTTGTTGTATTTCAGATGGTCATTGTTTTTCATTGCGCTGCTCTTTGTGACCCACTCTGAGTGTGCTAATGAAAAACCACACTGAACAGGAAGTGGAAACTCATAGGAGGCGTTTCAGCCGCGTATGTAGGTTATATGTCATATGTGTGTGTTTTCTTGTGAACAACTCCTCCTCTCTCTCTCTTACACACAAACACACACATTAATTAGAGCATGCTTGCATAGTTTGGAATATCTTAAGGTTCAGATTTTTTTTAATGCCACAAACAATACAGAAAACAGCTGCATTGTGAAACAGTTAGAAAAAGTAATATACAATCACTGTGTGGAATTTTATAGGTATTTGCACTATACTTGATCATTGCACAGAAAAACAGGCCTGATGGAGTTGTGAAATAAAATGTTCAGGACAAATCATGCCTGAAACAACTCCACGCAACTCTAATTATTAAAGCTAGGCCTTCAGTTTGGGCCATAAATGTCACAATCTGCTCAGAAAAATTGCTATAATTGCTTATTCCTGCTAGTGACTCTATGGGATTTCTAGTATATTGTTAGCACTAAGTTGAGTGTGGTGCACACGAACAGTTTTGGCCATTCTAGATTAGACACAGGCATTTGAGCTTGTAAAAGACATTCTGTGTTTTATTTGAAGCTTAAAAACAGACATTAACATATATTTGACCTTGTACATAGCAATTTTACTGGGAGTCTTTCAGTAAAGAGCCCTAGCTGGGCTTTCAGTAAAGAGCTCTTACTGAAACTTTGTTAGCCGACCGCACATATTTTTTCCACTAAATTGGTCCCAGCCATTGCAAATCAAAACATGACTCTACTGTGACTTCCTAATTATGTTAATGCTTAATCTGACGGTTCTGTTCAGCTCCTGAAGGCCTTTCCAATGGGTTAGTCCACTTAGCTGTGTCTTCTTAGACTCTGTCCACATGTATCCAAAAATATTTTTGAAAATGTAGGTTTTTTCTCCATTTTCAAAAAAATTGTCCACACCAACAGCGTTTTTGAAACATCCACATGAGAAGGCAAAAAATACTCAAAAATCCTCAAATGAGCATGCCAGCCCAGTATGGGGCAATAAGGCCTCATAAAACTTGATGTCAACCACCTGAAAAAGAACATTACCAGCATCGAGCAGAAGCGCAAAACTGAGAGATTCACTGAAGGGAGATTCACTGAGATGGATAGACGATGAAGTACAATCGCTGCTTATTGTTTAAATTTTCCCATTCCACCTTAAATGCCTCAAGTGCCGGAATGTCACTATGCACCATTTGAGGTGGAATGGGAAAATTTGACCAAGAAGCCAACTTCAGCCTCGCTGAGAAAGTCTCCTCAAAAATCTCCACCCAGGAGAGCATTTTCAAAAACGTCTGTTTTCAGTCACCTAAAACTCCACCAACTCCACCAGGACACCAAAATGCAAAGAAAACAACTTTGTTTTTAAAAACATCTGGATACGTGTGGACGGGGCCTTTGATACCGTGGGGGAAAAAAACCTGATTGGACAGTTTTCATTTGAGCGTTTCAAGATTTTAACCTCCTGGTTTTCCAAGCAACACTTTACAATAAAATAAGAATAATACAACCTTTACTAGTACTTAAAATTGCAGAGTTTAAAATGCAACAAATACAAAGTATGATAATTCTATAAAAAAATGAACTAAAACTTGCAGGCATTGTTGGTTCCCAGAAGTCATTATGCCTTCTAATGACTTAATTAAAAGGCCATGAGGTTTCCCTTTTGTCTCTGATGTATTAACATCTTGCCATTTAACTCAATTTTGTCATTCACAATGAGGAAACATTCTGTAGCCATTAGCATTCTCTTTTCTGCCGAATCATCCCACTCCACCCTCGCACTGGGGTCTGTTTTTATCGGAAGACTACCATTGCATCAACAGCATTTTACTACAATGAAATTCAATGAATTCAGTGCAGTGTGGTTGTTATAACAATGAGCTGCATTCATTCCCAATACAGAGAAACACAACAACCACAACAGTTTTCACTTCCATTTCAACTACAGTCTCAACAAAAGATCTAAACTATCACTAAAAACCCATTCAGATAACTTCATGCTGTTAATAAAATAATCTAATGAATATTTTGAAAGTAGCCAGTGCAGTTATGAATCACTTAAGACTCAAAAATGACACATTCTTTAAGAGCATTGGAGAGAAATACTGAGGAACTAAGACTCAAAAGGAAATATTGCCTAAGAGCAACAAGAAGAAAGATCAAAAAGTTAAAAAGGCTGCTCTCACAGATCAAAGCAAACGTGTCCATAAGAGGATAACCAGCCCAGTTCTCTACAGGATCAGACCCAGAGCCAGTTATGACACAATCATCTTCTCCTATTTCACTGTTGGGTTCCCCACTTCTCCAGAACCTGAAAGAGAGAAGATCAGAGTTTGAGTATTGTTTGGATCAGAGCCTGAAGAGTTAGTAAGTGGGCAGATGCCTCACGTGCAGCCATTCACCCATTTCCAGACCCCCTTTGGGCCTCAGCCAGTCAGTCTAATCCAGTCTTTCTGACCTCTTCTCATCATTCTCTGTCCATTTAAGTCCTGTAAAAGTGTGATAACTGCTTACACCAGCTCTTTGTCTCAGAGGAGAAGTTGTAAATACTGGATTTTATGTACATCCATACATACTTTTAAACCAGACAATACAAGGTTCAACAGGAGTTTCATGGCGAGGAGAGATGCTGAAAGTAGCGCACCATCTCTTTTAGATATCTGGAGGGACTGCATGGTTCTCCTGACCTCCAAAAGGGGCCTGTGGCTAAAGATGTCTTTGCCTCAGTAGGCTTGCTCATGGCTGAAGATGCTGCAGCCCTGACAGCAGCTGAAGGATGTCACTACTGACCCAACTTGTGGTTTGGGTTGTCAGCCCAGCTCAGCTGCCCTCCCAGTCTTCTGCTCTGCAGGCCTCCAAATCTCCTACTTCTATGTGTGTCCGGTCTCTCTGGGGTGTTTCAGTACCTCATGCTGAGTTCATGGTCAGTCTCCTGTGCCTGTTTCTGCTCCTATCATCAGTACAGTTCTTCAAACCAGACTGGCTCCAAAGCCCCTCTCACTGTTTACATTGCAATCCTTGTCATTGTCCCTGTCCCAGTGTTAGTCCACCTTCATATCCCATTCCCAACTTCCACTGCAAAATTGCCTCTAGAAAGTTTGTTCTTACACCTCCATAGCTGCACATTTGGTGAGGAAGTTCTGTTGTTTGTTTTCCTCATCAGGCTCCCAACCAAGTATATCACCTACAGACTGTTTATGTATCTGTGTACGTAGCATTCCTAGTGTTCCCATCAAGTCCGTCAAGATGCCTGGTCTGGTCTGGTTTCCATATGCATCAGTTTTAGTTTCAGGTTCGTTTTGTTTGCTTGTTTACCGTCTCAGGTGTATTAGTTCATTTCCAATGAAGAATTAAGTTTGTACTTCCTGCATCAAGACTCTATGTGTAACAGCAACAAGCACTGCAGGCTATTTTTATCACGATTTGCTCTACAACTCTTATTCTGTTGCTTTAGTCATATTCATAATACACAGTTAAGAAGCAACACTTTAAAGCCGAAAAGCTATGATCTAGCATCAGTGTTTAAGCACTCACCCAAATGTGAAAGGCTCTTCAGAAGCACATGATTCTCTTTAGTCAGTTTGTTATAAATGGTCTGTAACTGGTCTCTTTTTGTAATCAAGATGTTGTTACTGGTCTGTAACTGTTCACACTCCGTGGTCAGGTTGGCGTAACTGGTCTGTAACCGGTCTGTCTCTGTGATAAATGTGAACAACAGCACTGGTATGGCAGTCAGCAGGAGAACACACAGCAGCCCCAGACACACTGCAGCCAGTCTGTAGAATGTGCTCTCTGCAGCATTCACTCCTGAATGGTCAAATAGAAGTGAATGTCAAAACATGGATAAACATAAGCATATTCTTAGCTGTGTACGTTCATGGACATGTGTCTATGTAGGCAGGGGCTGCCCACAGCTGACCTGTGAAGATGCCTGATTTGGCCTGCCACAGATACCCCATCCCTCATACTCAGTCAATGACATACCAAACTTTTTATACTACATACAACTTGTACTATATACAATTCCCATTTCCTTTTAAAGTTATATTTTAGTGACATAATATAATGCAAATGTTATAAAAACAGATATATATGTAAACTACAAAATTCTGAGGCCTACCTACAGTACCTTCTGTATTGTTTTTTCTTTTTGCCCCCCTCAAGACAAAATCGGGCGCCCTTGTAGTGTATGATTTCATGTGTGTGAAAATAAACACTATTAACAAATAAATAAACAGTACCTGAGGTCATAGTTCCTTTATGGCTTCTGGTCACTGGAGTGTCCAGAACAGCTTCATTGGCATAGATTTCTTCATAAGAGCTCCTGCTGTTGTTTGAATCAGTTAATCTCTTGTCTGCTGCGTTTGCATACAGATCCTCATTCATCTCCGGTTCTGTTCTCTTTCTTAAATGCACTCTTGCCATAATGTAGCTTGAATTGTTTTTGCTGTAACTGCAGATGTACAGTATCTACCACAGTCTCTCCAGCTCTCAAAGTGACTCTATGTATGTGTTATTATTATCTTTGTACTTGGTGTGAGGACAGGAAGTTGAGGCGGGAGGCAGCTCTTACTAATCTTGAAACACTTACAGAAGTCCGACTCTCTCTCCCTCTCTCTCTCTAACTTCTGTTGCTGCAGCTGTTTTACATGTGATCTCTTTGTAAAAGGCTGAAATACTGGATCTGATCTCTTTCTGTTAATCTGTTCATCTGAGTGTTGTTTGTGTTTGCCATCAGTTATTATGGAATAACTGAAATTTGGAGGGGGGGACCATGCTTGAAACCCCTCCTCCTTCCAATCTAACTCCCTATAAATTCCACCATCTCCTCAGTCCTATTTCAGTACTAGTACAGGGTGGGGGGTGGGAGGGATCTGGCCATCAAGCTCCAGGCAGAAACCGTCCAGAACTCCAGCCCAAGTTCTCAGAGTTCTCTCCCTCAATTAGTCTGCTTCATACTACCAAACTAAACTAAAGTGCAAATTGGGTTCTGTACTATCACGTGTTCAGATGGCCAAGTCTGGAAACTGGCCTTCTAAAGAAGAGAGATCGTGACAGATACAGAAGAGTCTGTGTGGTGTGTCTGAAAGTCACATGGTCGCTGTATGTGCAGAGAAACATCATGTGGTTAGGGTGTGAATTCAGCAAAGCACATAATGCATCTGCTTAAAGGGGAATTCAACCAAGTTTTCAAAATATTTGCATGCTTCAGTCAAGCTTTCTTTTGGGCTATTTCGTCCTACAGCACCCGGCATGTATCTCTCCACCAGGAATGGGTTTAGTAAAATATGTTTTAGGCCAAAAGCTTGGCTCAAAACTATTATAAAACAATTGCTCAGGCTTCAGGCCTTGTATTTAAGACCCATTTCATTAAGATTTTTCAGTGGGGGAGCTTTCAGCTTGACTTTGTTTACATCTTAACCATTTATTTATGCAGAAATTTTGAAGAATTCCTCTTTAAACAGCACACTCAAGAGCTGAGACGGAAATCTGCCATGTAAAACAAAACTGACACATGTAGGGCAAAGATGTCACATCAGCAGTTTTTCTTCTGTTTTCCACCCACCCTAAACTGACAGAGCACATCAGCACTTTTATACTCACACATCCACTGTGGGATTCACACACAGGGGCCGGTTCTCACAGTTTAATGTCAAACCTTTCAGATCTCATGCAAATTTCAGCCTTAAAAGTCATTTTAAAGGAGAATTAGTATGCATATTTCTATAGAGTGCTTGAGAGTTGGCCAGTGAGTGTCTTGCAAAATGAGGGACATCTTGTGGTCAAATTTTGCCACTACATCATACTTTGTAGTGTTGCACAGCACCAGGGTCCTTTCTGTTTGGAGTTTGCATGTTCTCCCTGTGTCTGCATGGGTTTCCTCCCCCAGCCCAGACATGCAGTCAGGCTGACTGGACATGCTAAATTTCCCCTAGGTGTGAATGTAATTATGTCTGTGTGTCTGCCCTGTGATGGACTGGCAACCTGTCCAGGGTGTTTCCTGCCTTCCGCCCAATGACCCCGACACCCCCAACCCCTTTGTGGAAAAAGCGATGTAACTACCCAATGAGCTGTGACTGGTTCTCAGCTGACCTCAGAGCACCTGTGGTTTGGCCCTAGACTTTACTTCCCATCTCTATATAAGATGCTGCACAGCCCTGAGTACCAGAGTGACTTTGACTTCTTGAGATGTTAAGCAGCACACATGCTATAAGCTAATATATAACATTGCAATGGTAAAAATGTAGCTAGCTGAGAGTTTATGAGTACAATTAACACATTAAGACAGTAAAATGCAAACCCTATATTTCATTTTTTGCTTGGACTGCTTGTAATGTTGCTGGCTAAATCTTCATGCTTTAGTCTCACTCCAGTAGCTGCTCAGTTTAGGGTACAGGCTCCGTTGTTTGCTATATTAGTGATTAGATGAGAAATTAAAGTTGTGCTGCATAACATACTACAGCCAGCATGCGAAAGTGCACTGTTAACCAGCAGATTGATGGTAAAGTATCATGTAGCTAACATTATTAAGGAATCAGTGGGTATGTTAGACTTTTTGTCTCATTAACTGTATGAGTAGCTGGTTTCCTGTTAGTTGGGGTTTAGTACAGACAGCCTTTTATAACGTATGTTTCATGTGTACTTTTACAGTAATTGGTGAGGACAGAGATACAGGAGAGATAAAATCTATTTGAAACTATCATTTCATTTAGTGTAACTTTCAACACATTTTCAGCTAATTTTTCAAAATAAACATATAAAAAATAGTTAAATAATTAATTAAACAAACTTAAACAGGATAACTGGAGTCAAATCAGTTTATGGAAGACTAATGGCTCTGTCAGGGGGTCTATACAACACTAAGTGCAACAATTGCACAACTGTTTGTTCAAAATAAATGAAAAAAAAAAACAAACTAAACTTATGCATTTGGGTGTTTTTGTTGATTTTGTTGTACCAAACTCGTACCGAAACACGTTGTAAACCAAACCATGACCTCTGTGTACTGTTACACCCCTAGTGTGTAATATAGCTGCATATCTATGTTTGATTGGGTTAATCAATGACTAAACTCAAGTTAATGTGAGCCCTGCTAACATTCTGGCATTAGCTGCATTCAATGACTAGTAGAGCATTAGAAATTTCAATATAAAGTGTTAATCTGTAAAATTCAATAATAAGTTTCAATTGTTAATCATGAACAATTCCCAGTTGGAAGTTATCAAAACTATGGAAGTCATCCTTTCCCTTAATGTCTGCCTGTGACAAAATGATGTTTCTTCCTGTTTACTGTTGCACTTACACTATTTTGTTTTTTGTCGTTGTTGTCACTACAACCATGAACCACACAGCCACCATGGCTATATTTTACCTGTCAGGATGCTTGATTAACCAAAGGTGACTCTACAGGTGCTGCTGTCATCCCTAAGTTGACCGGTGGTATGTCAACAATATGGCAGCAGCAAGCGACGAGTGTATTGTCAATCGCATATTATCCATCCATTTTTACCCACAATACCCACTTTTTCACAGGCCTACCTAAAAATGTATTTGTGCCTACGCCACTGCGCTGCAGATACCGACACTGAACAAGTGTAGATCAATCGTTTTAGGCCAGCAGGCTTTATAGTAAAGGTAGACCATAAATTCAGCCACAGGTGCACTCGGTTAACTACTAACTATGACAATTAGCCAATCAGAAGCTTGTAAAAGTTATTACATCAATTTCCAAGTTGTGTTTAAAGAGAGAGGTGTATGTACACCTCTGACACACTAAAAATTTGATATAGTGAATTAAGGCTAAATCTGCCTATAATCAATAACTCTCATGTGAACAAAGTAGATGATGTTGAATTCACTTCCCAAAATAGGATTACATGAAATGTGTGGAGTTGTTTGACTGTCTTTAATTCACTTACTTTTTGCCTCAATTTCTGTGGAATTTTCTCATTTGCCTTTTTATCTTTAACATCAACTTATCTCACACAATCTCTCTCCAATAAAAAAGCAACACGCACAAGAGACACGCCCTGTCTGGAGAGTTATCATACTTACGATTCTGTAAGGTTAAAGTGCTGCAGTGTTCCAGTGTATTATAGTCATTAATATGGAAATGGACATTCAGAATGAACCTCTTCAGTACCAGAACACAGAAAAAGTGGACAAAACTTCTCAGTCATGTGGACAAAATCAACACAGAGGTAAGTGCTCACATACTGACCCACACGTCCACAAACAAAGAGCCATTTCAGAAGAGAATGGACACTTTCATTCACCTCGCTAGTCTGTTAAAGGTGTATTTGTGTGTGTTTGATGTTTAGGAGTGTTCAGGCTGGCTGTGCTGTGTCTCGGTGTGATGTGTATCCTTCAGGCAACTCTCAATATTGCTCTGAGACTGTACTGTAAGTTCAGCGTTTATACTTTAAAACACTTTATGAACTGGAACACACTGATATATTTTTGTTTTCATCCATAACTAGCACTTGCTGCGAGTTTGTTACCTGATTCAAAATGGTGCTTCGTTGTCAGCAAAAAGTAAAGGAAATGTGGTGATGTGACTAGAAGCACACGCTGCTTAAGCTTCTTGAACAACGTAAAAAGTCAGTGTTAAATTGTGCTCGGCATTAGGTTGTTCCGTGCGCTCCCCTACATAAACTCCCAGTTTTTTAGATACTCCTGTCATGTGTCTATGAGGTCAACCAACCTTAGACTTCTGCAAGAAATAGAGTATTACATATAGAAATAGAGTATATATATATATATATATATATATATATATATATATATATATATATATATATATACATACACACACACACACACACACACACACTATATTGCCAAAAGTATTCACTCACCCATTCAAATCATTGAATTCAGGTGTTCCAATCACTTCCATGGCCACATGGAAAAAAAAAACAAGCACCTAGGCATGCAGACTGCTTCTACAAACATTTCTGAAAGAATGAGTCGCTCTCAGGAGCTCAGTGAATTCCAGCGTGGTACTGTGATAGGATGCCACCTGTGCAACAAGTCCAACTGTGAAATTTTCTCACTACTAAATATTCCACAGTCAACTGTCAGTGGTATTATAACAAAGTGGAAGCGATTGGGAACGACAGCAACTCAGACACGAAGTGGTCAGCCACATAAAATGACAGAGCGGGGTCAGCGGATGCCTAGGCGCATAGTGCGCAGAGGTCGCCAACTTTCTGCAGAGTCAATCGCTACAGACCTCCAAACTTCATGTGGCCTTCAGATTAGCTCAAGAACAGCGTAGAGAGCTTCATGGAATGGGTTTCCATGGCCGAGCAGCTGCATCCAAGCCTTACATCACCAGGCGCAATGCAAAGCGTCGAATGCAGTGGTGTAAAGCGCCACCACTGGACTCTAGAGCAGTGGAGACGTGTTCTCTGGAGTGACGAATCATGCTTCTCCATCTGTCAATGCGATAGACGAGTCTGGGTTTGGCGGTTGCCAGGAGAACGGTACTTGTCTGACTGCATTGTGCCAAGTGTAAAGTTTGGTGGAGGGGGGATTATGGTGTGAGGTCGTTTTTCAGGAGTTGGGCTCGGCCCCTTAGTTCCAGTGAAAGGAACTCTTAATGCTTCAGCAGACCAAGAGATTTTGAACAATTTCATGCTCCCAACTTTGTGGGAACAGTTTGGGGACGTCCCCTTCCTGTTCCTACATGACTGTTCCAACAGAGCTGAGACAGGCCTTCTCGTCCAACATCAGTGTCTGACCTCACAAATGCGCTTCTGGAAGAATGGTCAAAAATTCCTATAAACACACTCCTAAACCTTGTGGAAAGCCTTCCCAGCAAAGATGAAGCTGTTATAGCTGCAAAGGGTGGGCTGACATCATATTAAACCCTATGGATTAAGAATGGGATCTCACTCAAGTTCATATGCGTGTGGAGGCAGACGAAAGAATACTTTTGGCAATACGTATGTATATATATACACAAACACACACATCCTCTAAACCGCTTACCCTTCTGGGTCACGGTGGGGTGCTGGAGCCTATCCCAGCTGTCATTGGGCGGAAGGCAGGATACACACTGGACAGGTTGTATGTATATATAGTAATAACATATTTTTAAATATAATATATAATAATGTATTATCATGTATTATATATAATGTTAACTTCAGTATTCAGTCTGCTCACCTTTTGGTCTATTACAGCTTCTATACTTTTCAGGACACCTGCTTTCAGTTTTTTAAAGAAATCTGCAGGGATATTTTTTTGATGTTTGTCAGTAATCGGTATGTTTCAAAAATGTACTTTCAGTGACTGACCTGGACCAGACCATCTGTAACAACAAAACTAAAGAGATAGAAAGTTTAAAGGCCACTTACACCAGCCTGATGATAGAAAGAGATCAGTTACAGAAAGAGAGAGACAAACTCCAGAGGAGGCTTTCTGAACTGGGTTAGTGATTTTTTTTATGCTCCTGTTTTCAGATGTATTTCTCTGTGGTGTGTAGAGTAGCATAAACCCACACTCACACTGCTTTCAGCAGTGGAACTGAGGTATATTAGTAAAAAGTAGATTACTTTCCTCACAAATATTCCTGAGTAGAAGTTTTTGATTTTATCCAATAAAACCACTGATACATTATTTGAGTACAGGTAACAGAGTTAAGGCAACCAATTACAATCCAGTTCTGGTCTTTTTTTAATGGAAATGCAGGGACTTTACTTCAGCTCCAGGCCTGTGTTGCACCGGTTTTACATAGATTTTTTAAATTAAGTTTGTGTCTGAAGTTTTTATTAAGACCTAAGTAAAACTACTACGTTTTATATAGCCAAACGATCCGAATCCGAATCCAACAACCGAATGTGCAGCTTTTTTAAACAATGGTATTCGGGCATCCACCACAACAACAGCTTCATGTTTAACTTAGTTAGGTCATGCTTTTGTCCTTCTCTGAGTTTTCTATGCTGTTTATGTTAGTTTCCCCAACACTTCCACCTTCTTTACACCATAAAAAGTAGGGGCAGTATGTGAAATGCTAATAAAAAAAGAAAGCAGGGATTAGTAAATTCTGTTTGACCTGTATTATGTGGCAAAGTGGCGAGCCTCGAGCTTCCTTGTAGACTAGGTTTTTTCAGGATGCTTTTTTTTTTATATCCAAGCATAATTGCATCACTGTTTCAAGATGTTTTTTGAACATTTAATAATATCTTTAACTGTCCTGTCCCACCTTTTTTGGAACACGTTGCAGACAGTTGGGGTAGTTCTGCCATATTGGCAGGGTTCGGCCTCTGTTTACATGGTGCAAATACACAAACACTCTGCGAGAGCTTAAAGGGGCTGCTGTTCTTTTGTGTTTTATCAGGATTGTCATGCTTAGAATTGAATCAAATGAAAAAGCAATGTATCTTAACCAGTTTCAGAAAGATGTCAAACCATTACATGGACTATTCTACCAAATTAGTACTGCAGTGTTAAGACTTTAGATATTTACAAGGATTGAACCCAAGGCATTAATTGAGATAGTAATTGTGGCATGTGCCCGCCTCCCCGGGCCCCATGACGGCCGCGAGAGCCGACAGGGAGAGCCACGATGGGGGGGGGGGTGCGGAGCGCAAAGCCTGAGCTCCCCCGAGGGACGCGAGTCACGTCGGGAGGAGGGGGACGGTGGTGCCGGCCACGAGGGGCACCAGGGCAAGGAGCGAGTCCCGAGCTTTGCGCTCCGCCCACCCCCCCTCCTAACTTGTGGCTCTCTCCCTGCCATCCTCACCGATGTTCATCACCATTCGTTGTTCAGGCCCCGCCTTCCTGTCGGCTCTCGCGGCCATCATCGCCGGGGCCCGGGGGGCGGACGCATGCCACAATTACTATATCTCAATTAATGCCTTGGGTTCAATCCTTGTAAATATCTAAAGTCTTAACACTGCAGTACTAATTTGGTTGAATAGTCCATGCAATGGTTTGACATCTCTCTGAAACTGGTTAAGATACATTGCTTTTTCATTTGATTAATAAACTAGTAATAGTAATTTAGTAATAAACTAAATATACACAAAGTCATCATTTATAGGCTAATTTCTATTGGGGAGTGGCTGTCCCAAACCTTAACCCCTACATTTCCACTTGTGAAAATAATATATTTTTTTTAAAAGGCGCAGGTCTGACATGTTGTGGTCCTTTAAATTCATGCCAGAGAAGACTGAAAACAGTTATACCGGACTGCGGGTGGGAGCAGGACAAAGAATAGTTGTTTGTATTTGTGAAAAAAGTGAAATTAATTTTTGAGTCATTTCAAAAGCATTTAAGATGTAATGCAACACCTTCATTTCCTAATATACATATACCCACATACAAGAAAAGTAGATATTGTTGAATACAGTAACACAGTGCTGTCAATATACAGTCTTGTAAACACAAAAAGTGCCATTCCTGTAAAAAAACATTAAAGTATGAGTACTGTAAATATTACTTACAGTAACTACCTGACAACTGTGACAAGGCCAGAGTAATTGTTTTTGCTGTCTAGTATAGTGATGATGTGGAATCTTCATTCATTTTGTCTTTGGTATTTCTGTGCATAGAAGAAGCAAAACAAGATGAATGGAGCCGCTTCGGTTCCAGTCTTTACTACATCTCCAGTAGGAAGAACTGGACTGAGAGCAGACAGGACTGCAGACAGAGAGGAGCAGACCTGGTGATCATAAACACCAAAGAAGAACAGGTGAGAGAAAAAAAAACAGATTTAAACAGAATCACTGTTCAGAACTAACTCTTTATATTGTATCACACTTGCAGGAGTTTATCACTAATAATCTGGGCAGCAGCCGAGCTTGGATTGGTCTGACCGACACTGACGAGGAGGGAGTCTGGAAATGGGTGGACGGCTCAGAACTGACCACTAAGTAAGAACACCTCTGAACTGAGCTGTGGTCATGATGCAGTTACTAACTCTGACTCCTCACTGCTCTAGATCAGATCCTCTGATTCTCTCTTTCAGGTTCTGGATACCAGGGGAACCCAATGGTCATGGACATGAAAACTGTGCCGTGATTGGCCATAGGCTTGGCACTTCATGGAGCTGGGCGGATTTTCCCTGTAATGACCGTTTAGTTTGGATCTGTGAGAAACCTTTAAAATGAGGCAGTGCAGGAGAACAGACTATTTTACCTGTGCACTTTGAAGAATCATTTAAAAATGTTTAACTCAGTGTTTAAATTAAACTCCACATCTTTTGGTATTTATCTTTTTAATTTGACCCGTATCATCATCTTATTGTCTTACATGGTTTTAAATTAATACTCATAATTTGTTCTGTTTCTGTTAAGCTTTAGCACCTGTCTGTAAAACACTTTGAGCTGCCACCGCCATGAAAAGTGCTATATAAATAAAGATTATTATTATTTTCATTCATTTATTCATTCATTCATTCATTCATTCATAGTTTATCACAGAGCGCCTGCTCCAGGAAGACAGCAGGTGGGCTCTCTCATTTTACTTTGGCTCTCACCTGCTTCAGCTCCACTCACTCATCACACACACCTGGAGCTAGTTTTTGGGCTCATCTACTCTGATGTACATGTTATACAAATTCAGTATAATGTTACAGTAATTACTGGCTAGTTACATTATTTTCACAGCAATTTACTGAACCATATTAACATAAATTAATACCAGCAAAAATAGCAGCTTTATGCTCCAGAGTCACCTGGAGCACAGGAACACTGTGATGTAGTTTACCATAGATTTTACAGTACTTTACTGGTGATGGAGTTGCCAGTAAAGTACTGCATATTCCTGGTAAATATTTTACAGTATTTTACCATACACAGTACAATACTTACTGTACATTTACAGTACTTTGCTAGCAGCTCTGCTGCCAGTAAATTAGTGGAAATTGCATCACTTATGCTAGCTAAGCTAATGCTAACCAGATCCTCTCTCTTAGTTAGGAGCAGCATTCAACATTTAATAAATGTAAATGGTTGATTGACAATCATGTTGCATTGATTTATTTGGTGATCCTGTAAGCAAACAGAACTTTGTATCTGATTGTTTTCTGATTTGAAATAACAGAAGATGAACCAATCAGCAAACAGCTGTCTCTGCCAGAAAAACAAGCCTAGACCAATATGGCTGGTCACTGGCCAAACCAGCATACAGTGGGGCAAAAAAGTATTTAGTCAGCCACTGATTGTGCAAGTTCTCCTACTTAGAAAGATGAGAGAGGTCTGTAATTTTCATCATAGGTACACTTCAACTATGAGAGACAAAATGAGAAAAAAAAATCCAGGAAATCACTTTGTAGGATTTTTAAAGAATTTATTTGTAAATTATGGTGGAAAATAAGGAATTTGGTCAATAACAAAAGTTCAACTCAATACTTTGTAACATAACCTTTGTTGGCAATGACAGAGGTCAAACGTTTCCTGTAAGTCTTCACCGGGTTTGCACACACTGTAGCTGGTATTTTGGCCCATTCCTCCATGCAGATCTCCTCTAGAGCAGTGATGTTTTGGGGCTGTCGCTGGGCAACATGGACTTTCAACTCCCTCCACAAATTTTCTATGGGGTTGAGGTCTGGAGACTGGCTAGGCCACTCCAGGACCTTGAAATGCTTTTTACGGAGCCACTCCTTCGTTGCCCAAGCGGTGTGTTTGGGATCATTGTCATGCTGGAAGACCCAGCCACGTTCCATCTTCAATGCTCTCACTGATGAAAAGAGGTTTTGGCTTAAAATCTCACGATACATGGCCCCGTTCATTCTTCCCTTAACACGGATCAGTCGTCCAGTCCCCTTTGCAGAAAAACAGCCCCAAAGCATGATGTTTCCACCCCCATGCTTCACAGTAGGTATGGTGTTCTTGGGATGCAACTCAGCATTCTTCTTCCTCCAAACACAACGAGTTAAGTTTTTACCAAAAAGTTCTATTTTGGTTTCATCTGACCACAGGATTTTCTCCCAATCCTCTTCTGGATCATCCATATGCTCGTAGGCGTGGACATGTACTGGCTTAAGCAGGGGGACACGCTTGGCACTGCAGGATTTGAGTCCCTCTCGGCGTAGTGTGTTACTGATGGTAGCCTTTGTTACTTTGGTCCCAGCTCTCTGCAGGTCATTCATCAGGTCCCTCCGTGTAGTTCTGGGATTTTTGCTCACCGTTCTCATGATCATTTTGACCCCACGGGATGAGATCTTGCGTGGGGCCCCAGATCGAGGGACATTATCAATGGTCTTGTATGTCTTCCATTTTCTTACAATTGCTCCCACAGTTGATTTATTCACACCAACCTGCTTGCCTATTGTAGATTCACTCTTCCCAGCCTGGTGCAGGTCTACAATTTTCTTCCTGGTGTCCTTCGACAGCTCTTTGGTCTTGGCCATGGCTGAGTTTGGAGTCTGACTGTTTGAGGCTGTGGACAGGTGTCTTTTATACAGATAACGAGGTCAAACAGGTGCCATTAACTCAGGTAACGAGTGGAGGACAGAAGAGCTTCTTAAAGAAGAAGTTACAGGTCTGTGAGAGCCAGAAATCTGGCTTGTTTGTGGGTGACCAAATACTTATTTTCCACCATAATTTACAAATAAATTCTTTAAAAATCCTACAAAGTGATTTCCTGGATTTTTTTTTCTCATTTTGTCTCTCATAGTTGAAGTGTACCTATGATGAAAATTACAGACCTTTCTCATCTTTCTAAGTAGGATAAATTGCACAATCAGTGGCTGACTAAATACTTTTTTGCCCCACTGTATGTACTGTTTTAGATCCTGGTCAACCAGCTTATCTTGTATATGACTTTTTCTACAGCAAATGGGTTTTGGGCAGCAGGATGCTAACATTACTACTGTGTGAAGTAGGTAGTGTGAAGCAGCTAACTGGCTGTTTGCGCTCACTGACATCATTAATGTACATGAGGTGCCATTTTAAACTCCTACAACTGGAATTCAAAAGCTCTTAAAAATATAACAGCAGTGATAAAACGTTTTAAGCTGTTCTATGTTTAGGAAATGAATGTGTTCTTTTATATTAAACATGTTTAAGCATTTATAAACTATGTTTTTGCTCAAATGCTCCATCTTAACCCATTCATTTTGGACTCGCTCGGGAGCGCCCTCTAGTGTTTAAGTAGTAATTCTCCTCTCTACAAGTTCTCTGGTGTGGATAAAATTATGATTAAACAATCTTTGTTTATATTACTATATTATATTACTACATTAACACTAGTTACAGCTAGTTTTAGTTGCACACCATTATATTCCAGAGGTCTACAGGTAAATGAAAGGTGGCTGGTAAACAGTTTATGTGGAATTATGTTTGCTATCATGATGTAAGTTAACAATAAGTTAAACTTAAATTTTGCCTAAAATGAGATTTTTACAATATTTCCATTGTGCATTTACTGTGGTGTCTAAAACATGATTCATTATTTGTTGAAAGTGTAATTTCAGTAATTTTTTTTTTACTTTTTATTTTTGGATCATAGGCTGGGTGAACATAGGCTGTTAGCATGCTAGCTAGAATATCATCCATGTTGCTATTGCTTCTTTTGAACACTTGTTTAATTGAATAAGATGAGAAAAACTGGCATTTATAGCTCTTAAACAGCACCTGCTGCTTCCTGATAAAATAGGAATACAACCTTTTCCCTGTTTGGAAATCAGGACACTGGATCCTAAATGTGTAAGGTTTTTGCAGACCTCATGTCACTAAGTTCTTTTTTCTGTTTTTGTAATCATTTTCATCTTTTTTCACTTTTTATATCCAGTAAATACTTCATTAGCTCCCAAATAGAGAAGGTAGTTGCACTGGACTGTGAATAGACATCTAAGTGTGTGAACTATTCAAATGAAGTCGAATGAGAAAAAGTGCACAGTGCAAAGTCAGTAGTGCAGTTTGTCTTGTAAAAGTTTACAAAGTATGAGTTAAGAGGATTCACATTCAGGTTTAAATCTAATATTTAGGAACTCCATGTTCCTTATACAGTTCAAGGTGTTCATTCTGTGCTTGGTTTCTGCTTGTTTTGTTTTTGTTTTTTGTTTTTTTTGGGGGGGGGGTTGTTAAATGTTTAGGGACTGTTCAGGGTTCCCTATGAAGTTCAAGGTAAAAAATAATTCTTAGTGTGAGCTTCGCAAGTTGTTATTTTTTCTGATTTTTTCAAGGCCTAGCCCAGGTGTCAAAAACCTAAATGTTAAGAAGGGCCATTTTGTCCCTTCACTCAAAATCACACCACCTTGGGAGTCACAACATTTGATGTAAATTTGACCATCTTGGCTGTAAATATGACTTTGACTTTTTACAATGATGAAGTCAGCTTCTCATTTGCCAGCTTTAGGTTCAAAGTCATGAAGATGAAGTCAGTTTCTCGTTCAGATTTTCCCAAATTTTCCCCCCAAAAAAGTTTTTGGCCTTTTAAAGTAGAAACAGTCTGTTAAAATCATCACAGTGCAGGTCGCTTTGTATAGGGGCTGTGTTCTGTCCCCATATATAGTAATGATCTGGTATCTCACAGTGAATCTGTTAAAATGGTGAAATATGCAGACGATACCACCATAAGAGGCCTAATTACAGATAATAATGAGGCCAGTTAGTGGCAGGAGGTGAATCAATCAGTAACAGGTTGTACTAACAGTGACCTCCAGCTTAATACATCTAAAACAGTGAAGATCATTGAGGAAGAAACAGAATGTGATAATTGTGGTTTTGGGACACTTGTAAAATCGTAAACATTTTTGGGAACTTACATCAGTGATTGTTTGAAGTGCAGCATTAATTCTGATCATATCATCAAAACATCCCCACAAAGGTTAGCAATTAAAAATAGAAAGTAAGAAGAACTACTACAGAATCTAAGAAAAGTCTTTTTCCTATTGCAGTAAGATTGCTAAACTCTTCTGAATGGAGTATGTCATTATAGTCTGTCCTTCTCCCCCCATCACTTAAAGTGGTGGAATTGGCGACAACTGAATTGGGGAAATAATTGGGTTAAAATCCAAAAAAAAAAAATAAAAAAAAAATCTGCAGATTTCAGAAGTCTAAAAGGTTAGCAAGTGTGCTAAAGAACAGATTTCCAGTATTGTCTCCCTGTCTGTATACAATAACAGCACTGTGACATTGTTTGTTTTATAGGATCTGAAGGCAGTCTTTTAGTCGAGGAAGATTAAAGTGAAAGTAACAGCATGAATCCATCACAGCTCAACCACAGCCACTGTCTCTAACGCAACACATTTCGAGAACTCTCAAAACTGGCTACTGGTATCTTGACTCTTAGCTACTGTTGGCTAGTAGTTTGCACTCACAAGCAGCTTGTTTAGATAATTAAACATAGCTATGATAACTGTGTATCTATACAGTTGCATGCAAAATTTTGAACACCCCTGGTCAAATTACATGCTTTCTAAATGAAAATAACTTTACACAGCCTGTACAGGGAACAAACTTAAATATGGCATTTTCCTGCAAATTATACTGCACAATTTCTATTAATTTGCTGAGTTTAAGATATAGGGGAAAAGAAAACATAACAAAATGTGGTTTGTGCAAAATTTATGCCATATTTTATGTTTTTCTCTAATATGTTGAATTCAGCAAAACAGTAATTGCACTTTGAATTGTGTGTGGTTGCGGTAGAGCTCATGTGTCAAACACAAGGCCCATCACACAATCCTATCCAGCCCACAAAAGTATTTGAATTTTTTTTTTATTATTATTATTAGCTCGTTTCACAATGCTTTGCATTACAGTCCCCAGCATGCATGGCAACATAATGTGTGCTCTGACTTTCCCATCCCCAACAACAATCTATATGACAGCAGTTACACCTCAATTCTACACAATTCTACGCAGTTCCACACCAGTCTAATCACCAAACGCACTAGCTGCATTTCAGCTGCAGTTCAACCAACATAAACATGTAATGTCAGTTCAGCAGCTCAGAAATTGAGCCCAAGCATTAATGAACTTGTAGGAAAGAAAGGACCCAACAAGACCTAGAAAACCGCTTTTATCTCCAGCAGCGTGGACTTACAGAATAGATTTTTTGTTGTTGCTATTTGTATATTAGTCACTGAATGGTTTAGGCCCAGAATACATCTCTGATATGCTTAAAGAATATAAACTAAATAGGCATCTTAGATCCATGGATACAGGTTAGTTCTTGTCCAAGCTAATCATAGTGTAACAGCATTTAGCTGTTATGATACATATAGCTGGAACAGACTGACAGAAGATACAGATGTGGTAATTTTTATATCCAAGTTGAAAACATTTCTCTTCTCATGTTCCTATAAAGACTTGCACTTTATTCTTACTGCACTTTACCTTGTATAAGCTAATTTTAATTGTTCATTTTTGTTAAACATTAAATCTTCACTTATGTGTAAAAAAGTGTGTTCTAGCTAGGCTGTCACAGGCTGCAACACACTGCATGCACATTGCTCAACACCCAAAGAGTTGAGACCCGCTGACCATAAGGCAAATCCATTGCAAAATTATTTAAAGAAACTGCTGGACATGTCCTCATTTCCAGTGCAAACGGCCACTGTGTGCACTGAAAGAAGTTGAGAAATATGTATGTGTATGGCGCCATGATACACTCTTTCTAGTGTGCAGCTCACTAGATGTTTTCTTCACATACAGGTTTTTGTTTTAAACAGGCCTGACTGATGTCTGCTTTTACAACCATATGTTTGAAGTTCCTATTTCTGTGGAAGCCTAAAGATGGAGTAGTCTAAAAGATATTTCCCAGAGCTGAATCAGACAAAAGAATATGCCAGTATCTGCTATGTGTCACCTTTGGGTGGCTGGTAACCTGACGGCAAGAGAGGTAAGACATTAACTGGAAGGTTGTGGGTTCAAATCCTACAACTGACCAGGTATACCTGGTTGTGCCCTTGTGAAAGCCACATAGCCCCTGGTGACGCTGCCAGATTGGGCACAGCTAGACAGCAAAATTATGAATTTCCCTTGGAGGACTAATTAAGTACATAACAAATACTGTAACAGTATATAAAAAGTGAATGACATTGTAAATTTAGATGGCACTAAAATCACTGAGAGGCAATCAGATTTGCTATCCAAATATAACTTAAGTTAGCCAACTCGCTGGCTAAAGAAATGTCTTTGTCACTGGGTCTAGTATCATGTGGAGCTAGACGAAATGGAAAATGATGTCTGCCTAGTCACTGTGCATTCATGATATACATGATATTCATGTACACACACACACACACACACACACACACACACACACACACACACACACTATTGCACATTTTCAAATCACTCCCCAAACACAAAGTTTTAGTCCTTATTTTAGCCACACCCCTTATCAACATTAAGAATTGTCACTACCGAAATACATATTTTTTGCTATTAAGAAAACGTTTTTGTGTTTAGATAAAAATATTATGATTTTATGTGTGTACAAATGATCGAAGCTGTGTTTGCAAGCAATGGACTGGTTAGCATTTTTGCAGGGGGCATCTTCTGGCAGTGTTGATCTTGATAAAAGTATGACTTAGAAGACAGGGTAGGCGTTTTATGTTTGAAGGAGCACTGTGCAAAAGATGAATCTTCCTTGTATTTTTAATTTGTTATTGATAGACTACTGGCCACACATTCGCTTTCTCAGATTAATCAATGAATCAAAAACATAATGCACCAATTTATTGAATATAGAAATCATTGTTGATTGCAGCCCTATTATCCCAGTATCACAGTATCGGGTGATATTGAAGTTAGCATTAATAATGTTTCCTCATTTTTATGCATTTTAAGAAAATGACTTGCAGTTAGCTGGCAGGGCTTAGATACTATAAGCAAAGTGCACAATAAAAGATTAAACAAAACTAAATACAAACTGCTTGGCAACAGGGACTCTGCTATCTTATGTATTAAATTCTCATTATCTATCAGATACACTGGTTAAAATATTGCTAAACCTGGAAAGTGATATCATATGATATGTCAATATCACGGTATTCTCCTGTGTATGAAACCTGCCCATAGCAACAAGTTGTCTTCTCACAATTGAAGGACGGACCCTGTGGATTTTTGACCACCAGTGGATTTTTGTCAGATCTGAATCAGGAGTGGAGCTTGATGTTCTCCTCTCTCTCAAAGATGAAAGCTGTTTATCTGATGGTGAAAGTTTGTGATATATCACGTCTTTTATGGTTAGGAGTCCCATTTTTTAAATAATTTCTTGAACTTCATTCACTTACTCACCAACAACTTATTCTCATTTGACGTTCCCTTCCTTATGCAATAAACCTTATCTTACACATAAACTGTAAAATAAATACCCTGTACTTAATAGCCATGTTTGACTGGAAATGAAATAAATTACGGGTGTCTCAGGCATTTGCACAGTGCTGTATAAGCGATATTGACCATGACTATATAAGAAGATTACGTCCTATTCGATGCTTGAAGTAAATGTTCCAGTGTGACTTCCTCAATCTGTGGCATAAATGCAACAATGCCTCACAAAGAGAGCCACTTTGAGCTGGAGGGTGCATGATAGACTACTACTACTGTTCAGAATGGAGATGTGTGAAGATGGTTATGAAAGTCTGAGGAATCCTATGACAAGAAGCAACCAGGAACCCAACAACTCAGGTGCGGTATGTTCACCTATATAAATACATGCAAACACACAGAACGTTAGGTCCATAATTATTTGGATGTCGACAAAGTTATTAATGAACATGATATAAATGAACATGAGCTCACAGTGCAGACTTTCAGGTATTTGAGGGTATTTACATCCATACTGGGTGAACAACAACCATTTTCATCCATCACTCCCACATTTTCAGTGGCTCAGAAGTTAATAAACTAACAATCATAAATTGTCTTTTTTAATACTTGGTTGCAAATGCTTTGCTAATGGTTGTAATTCCTGCACAGTTTATCCGATTTGTATGTAAATACCCTCCAATTAGAGCTGAAAGTCTGCACTTTGAGCTCATATTCATTATTAATTTCCACTCCAACATGCTGTAACTTTGTTGATGTCCAAATATTTATGGATCTACCTGTACATGCACACAAGTGACAAACTGTACATACTTGCTCATGTATTCACACTGAGCTGGAGGGAGGCATGACAATTTTATGTGTGTACAACTGTTCAGAGCTGTGTTTGCTAATGCTAATGTAATCACTAGCTTTTTTAGAGTTATGCTCAAAAATGAGCTGAAACTGTCACTATGTTGAAACAGTCATTACTGAAATATTTGGTAAAGTTTCGGACATGATTGTTTTTGTAGTGACAAAATGGAACGTATAATCATTTATTTTAAGAAAATAAACATAATTAAGGTAAAAAGTCATTCAAAGCAAAAGGATTTGAGTCTTAAGTCCATGTCAGTTAAAAGTCCATAAAGTGGCCACCTCCATTGAGGTCAAAGGAGAATGGTCAGACTGGTTGGAGCTGACAGAAAGGCTATGGTAACTCAGATAACCACTCTGCACAATTGTGGTGAGCAGAAAAGCATCTCAGAATGCTCAACATGTCAAACCGTGAGGCAAATGGGCTACAACAGCAGAAGACCACATTGGGTTCCACTTCAGTCAGTCAAGAACAGAAAGCTGAGACTGCAGTTGCACTGGCCTCACCAAAACTGGACAGTTGAAGAGTGGAAAGACGTAGCCTGGTCTGATGAATCTTGATTTCTGCTGAGGCACACAGATGATAGGGGTCTGAATTTGGTACCAACAGCATGAATCCATGGCCCCAACCGGCCTTGTGTCAACAGTCAAGGCTGGTCAAAGTGGTGTAAAGGTGTGGGGAAAGGCCACACTTTGGGGCCATTAATACCAACATAATATCAACATTGTTTGAATGCCACAGCATATAATGTCTGAGTATTGTTGCTGACCATGTGTGTCCCTTCACGGCCACAATTTACACATCAAGCTCACTTATTTTAATGATAGTTTTGTTTTTTTTTTTCCATTATAGAATTTACACAGCTCACTCAACTCTTTGGTCTCTTCTACTGTAAGACAATACTTTGGTTTGGCTCTTACAGCTTCTAACAGGGCAAATCAGGGAGAACTGAGACACGCTACAGTGCTCTGCCTGTTACTCATTAAGGAATATATTTTATGAATCTTTCAAAATGATAATGTACTTAATTTGGAGTGTCCAAATTAATTGAACTGCTTATGAACATGCCATGAATGCTTCATGTGCAAGTAGTTCCTGTAAAGCATTAGCCACCTTTGTATATCACAGAAATGTCATGCTTTCAGGTAAAGTGAAAAATTTGTTAAATATTATCATGTATCTGTCTAGTTTCTGGAATTAACACTGCAGGAAGTAGATGCTACAGACGGACTGCAGTGTGTCTGGGGCTGCTGTGTGTTCTCCTGCTGGCTGCCATCACAGTGCTGTGGATCATGTTCACTGCAGAGAGAGACCAGTTACACCAACCTGACTACAGAGAGAGACCAGTTACAAGCTGATTATGACAACATGAAAAATAAGATGGGCCAATTACAGAAGAAGTTGTCAGAATTAGGTGAGTAAATGAAGTTCAAGGTAGTGCTCACAGGAAACTGCTTTGGAATTGCACCTCTAAGAACAGACAGCATGATTCACATCCATATTTTTTCCAGGTTAATGTTTCATGCCTGTCATGCTTTGGAGCATATGCCACTTTGCCTCTTTTTCTGAGTATCTGCACTTTTGCCTCTTTTTAAGTATCTGTACTTTACTTGAGTTATCATTTTTTTGGAAACTTATGACTTTTACTCCACGACATTTCAAAGACACATATTGTACTTTTGAGTCCACTACATTTCTATGAAGCTTCTCATTATTTTGAATCTTTACTTTGAAGTCAGCAGACAAATTTTCTTTTCTGAAATGCAATAGGCCATTTTGTGTTGTGTTGTATTTTTCGTTTCATGATGCACTAAATGTTTTCCATTGGTAAAAGGTCTGGACTGCAGGCAGGCCAGTTCAGCACCCGACTCTTCCTCTGTGAAGTCATACTGTTGTGATGGATGCAGTATGTGGTTCAGCCTTGTCTTGCTGAAATATGCAAGGCCTTCCCTGAAAGAGACGTCTGGATGGGAGCATGTTGTTCTAAAACCTCTGTATACTGTTCAGGATTCATAGTGCCTTTCGAGATGTGTAAGCTGCCCATGCCATAGGCACTCATACCATCAGATGCAGGTTTTTGAACTGTGCGCTGATAACAAGCTGGATGGTCCCTCTCCTCTTGAGTCCGCAGGACATGGTGTCCGTGATTTCCAAAAGGAATTTCCAAATTTTGATTAATCTGACCACAGGACACTTTTCCACTTCAGTTCAGTCCATTTTAAATAAGCTTCGGCCCAGAGAAGACAGCAGCATTTCTGGATTGCGTTGACATATGGCTTCTTCTTTGCATGATACAGCTTTAACTTGCATTGGTGGATTGCATGGTGAACTGTGTTCACAGACAATGATTGCTGGAAGTGTTCCTGAGTCCATGCAGTGATTTCCAGTGCAGAATCATGCCTGTTTTCAATGCAGTGCCATCTGAGGGCCCGAAGATCACGAGCATCCAATATTGACAGTTGGCCTTGTCCCTTGCATATGGGGATTTCTCTCGGCACCACTGTAGCACACCCTGTGCTCCCCTGGGGAGAAAGAAGGATGCTGGAGGCAGGAGAGATGGTTGAAGCATTCTTCTTTATTCTATACACAAAACAAAAACCAAATGCTGATCACCATTTTTCAGTGGCTCCATAATTAGATTTTTCAGTCCTTTTTCCACATGCAAGCTTTTCAGCTCCTCTCTTTCCTCTCTG